ACTGTGCTGAGGAGGGAAAGAGTCACACCTGGGAAAGGCAGCTGTGAATTTCTCATACAAAGAAGGGATGATGCCATTTGTCCCCCATGGAATTTTGCAATTCTTAACATCCCGCTCAGTGGCACCTGACAACCCAAATCATTTATGGGGCTATGTTTTAGTTTGAAAAATTGTCAAACTTTTGAATACAGGGCAGGGTTTTTTTGTTTTGTCCCCCCCCCCCCCACAGGGCAGTTTTTAATTTGATAGCTCTCTAAATGAGAGAATTGGAAATAGAAGCATTAATTTTTCTTTTAACCAAATCTGTCAATTCTACATAGAAATTTTGTGATCTTACATTAAGCCTTCTGTATCGCTTTAGAGCACAAAGAATTTGGGAAGAAATGTAGGCAGAAGGTGGTATTGACTCTAATTTTACTCACCTGCAAACTGTCTCCCATCATAACGGTATTTAAATCATGGCTATGCTCTTAATTAACAGTTTAATTGGCTGGTGCTTTCTCAATCCATTTCTCTGGAGGCAGGATTTTCTGTTTAACTTTCTTGTTTTAATTCTTCAGCAAAACCATAAAATTTAATTAGGAAAGTAACCAGCTTTGTAACAGTGGTTCTAGGTCTAATTAGCTATGCTGTGACTGTACCTTCTCAGATTTCACTCAACGCTGCACAGACATTTTGCATTTGTTCATGTTTCAGATAAGACATTGTGAATTTATAGCATCAGCATATATATCCCAGTCACTTTTCACTTTTCCAAAGATGCTTGGTTATATCCAATGAAGTCAGAAAAATTAACATAAAGCATCCATACATGCTATTAAACTAAGAGCCATCAAAAGGCCAGGATGTAGGGCTGTTACCATGTGTACGATTTTTCTATTGCTTTTTTTATTTCTGTTGTGTTTCTGTTGCTTTTTTTCTACTGCTACAGAGAAAATTACCCCAAACAGAACAGCCATTTACCATCCTTAGTTCTATAGGTCACAAGTCCAGGCACAGTTGCCTGGATTTTCTCTTTAGGGTCTCACTGGGCTAAAAGCAAGACATCAGCTGGGCTATGATTTCATTTGGACTTCAGGGTCATCTTCTAAGCTCAGATGGTTGTGGCAAAATTCTTTGTAGTTGTAGGATTGATATCCCCATCTCCTTGCTGTTTATCAGATGGGGGTAGTTCTTACCTCCTAAAGGCCAGTAGCATTTCTTATCACATGGTTCTATGGACAGTTCACAACACAGCAATTTGATTCTTCTTTGAGACCAGAAGGAGTACTTCTCTGGCCTCTGTCAACAGCTGGAGGAAATACTCTAATTTTTAAAGATTTGAGAGAGAGAGAGAGAGAGAGAGAGAGAGAGAGAGAGAGAAGTAACAGAAGGAGAAAGAATTCCAGGCAGACTCCCCACTGAATGTGGAGCCCAATGCAGGGTTTGATGTCATGACTCTGAGATCATGACCTGAGCTGAAATTAAGACTCTGATGCTTAACTGACTGAACCAGCCAGGTGCCCCAGAAATATTTTGCTTTTAAATGGTTCATCTGATCAGGTGAGGCCTACCCCAAGTTATCTCCCTTCTGCTACATAATGTAATCTATCAGGGAAATAACTATCCCATCATATTCACAGACCCTGACCAGACGCAGAGGAGAGATTATACAGGGTGTATAATCAGGGACAGAAATTTTGGTGCCATCTTAGAATTCTGTCGATCACATGGTGCTTTAGGGAAAGGAGGCACTAAAAGCTCCCTTCCCCTCGGAGGCAGTGCACAGGGTCTGCAAAGGAGCTGTTAACAACAGTGCCAGTTCTGTCTCATGAGCTCCACAGGGCGTAAGATGATAGACATTCATATTCTTTATTCTCTGCAGGCTGCTTTCTCTGCCTGGCCAGAATTGATGCTCTCAGTGGTGCAAGTGGATCACTCGATGAAATCATTTGAATTTAAAATGACATCCAGTTAACATGATGCTTTTAGATAGAAATGTATTTAAGCTCAGTGCTTCCAATTTCAACCCAATATGACTATTTCTTTGCTAAAGAGAAATGAAGAAATGCGAAGAATTAACACAGCAGGCCTGAAACTACTGTTCTTAGAAAGGTCTACTTACAAGTTGGGCCATTAGCTGGCATCTGGAAACAGGGTGGTAGGATTGGCCCTAAAATCTAACTGGGAAGAGTGGCTCACTGTGCACCTCAACTGTGCCAACAATATAGTTCCTGCCTTCCTTTGGAGAATCTGGAATGTTGGTATGTGCTTGGCAGAGGGGGCCTATATGACTAGGCCCCAGTAAAAACCCTGGGCCCTAAGTCTATAATGAGCTTCTCTGGTAGACAATATTTCACATGTTATCACAACTCCTTGCCCACCTCCCCTTTCACCACCCCTAGTTCAGGGAAACACTTCTTGTGTGCAAGCCTGAGCCTGGTTGCTCTTGGACTTCATGCCATTTGCTTTTTCTCATTGCTGGTTTGCTTTGTATCTGTTTGCTATAATAAATCATAGCTGTGAGTAGGATTCTCAGCGAAATATAATCTTGCAAATCTCTGAACCTGGGGGTGGTACTGGTGACTCAAGGAATAAAGTAAATGAGAATGTGACAATGTATACTACTGTGTCTAGTCTCCACCACCCAGCAAACTTGGCCTCATTCTTCTCCATTGGGAAAATGATCAGAGTAAACAGATTCAAGGCAGGAGGCAGGCCTCATGTGGCTTCTAGAAGGTTTGGCACCCACTAGATGTGTGCTCCAATGCCACACTATGATCCAGGGCAAGTTACTTAACCTCTGTCTCTCCTAATTTCTTCAGCTCTAAAATAGCATTAATAGTACCCACCTCATAGAGTTGTTAAAAGAAGACAATTTATAGGAAGTACTCAGACTGTGACTGGTACAGGGTGACTCAGAGGGGCTGGATGGAATTCTCTGTGGTGTGGGACCGCCAGAGCATCATCAATATTCTGATATTAATTCCCTTGCTACCCCCTTCACTCTGCTCTCCCTTCCGCATCAGCCTCCCTTTCCTTCCCTTCTCTTAGTTGTCCTCTAAAGCTCCTTCACATCCAAACCATTTCCTCCCCCGGGTTACTACCCTTCCTTGAGGGCTAGATGAAAATATGCAGGAAGTTTTTTTTTAAGTGTGTACAGCACTGTGCACAGAAAAGGGCACGATATAATGTGTTCTCATCAGTGTCCATAGTCCTATCTCATGCTCAACATCTTTTCATTCCGTTGATTACAATTTACAAGAGTTAAGTAACCCTCCCAGTCCTCACTGATGTAATTTTATTACTTTTGATAATGACAAGTGATCATCACATATATAATTGTGATTTTATTTTTATAACTTTGTAAGATCTATCATGTAAATATACTTACAAATGGTGTGGGGGCAGATTTTGTCACAAAATTTTTCCCCAATACTTAGCTAAGCATATATGTTCCCTGAAATATGGTATAAAGTGGCTATTTTTCCAATGGGTGTATCTAAAATATAATTTCAATGGAGATGGGAGCTTCTACTTGAAAACTGCTTTGCTTCTTTGCAAATGTTGAGTCCCTGGGAGGCTGTTTAGGTAATGTTCAGGTATTGCTGCTAAAAAGACTATAATGGAATTAAATGAGCATACATGACCAAAAGAAAGTTCATGTCAGTATCCTGAAGCAGAGATGCCTTTGAGAAAGAGAAGAGGTTTAGGAAATGTCTGATGAGCAGTCCCTCTGGTACTGGATACAATCATAACAATTTGGAGTGAACTCTTGCATTTTCACTTTGAGCCCTTGTAATGAGACCCAAGCTTAAATTGGATAGTACATGTATAAAAACTGGGAGTAAAGAGAAAGAAAGGAAATGAATAAATTCCAAGTTCAAAACTTCATTTGTAAGTACATTCAATATTTGAAGGAAGATGTCAGAGAAAAATCAAGCCAACAATAAGACCAAAAATGTGATAATTACAATTATCTCCAGAAGCCACTAAATCTATCCCTCCTCTCTTATCCTCCTAACATCTTTTCCAGGTAAGACTTCCAGGTATTTAGGACACATGTTTTCCTATCCCATAGGAGATTAAGGAGGTCTTCTAGGTAATCTGATTTGCTATCCATTAAAATAAAGCTAAACTGACATATATTTTATGGTCTTGCTTCTTTTCTTCCTAGGCATAGAAAAGAGCCCATCACCATACCTCTTTTTTTTTTTTGTTAAGATTTTGTTTATTCATGAGAGAAACAGAGACAGAGGCAGAGACATAGGCAGAAGGAGAAGAAGGCTTCCTCAAGGGAGCTCAATTCAGGACTCGATCTCAGGACCTGAGCTGAAGGCAGATGCTCAACCAATTGAGCCACCCAGGCATCCTATCACCACACCTCTTATCATAAAGTTCTAGTTAAAGCTAACACTCAATTATACTGCAGTCATAGGAAAATGAGAAATTCTCTATCTCTAAAATCCACAAAATTCACCAAAGATTAAATAATCCGAGCCATTCAACCTTTGCCCATATAATTTTCTTATCAGACGCACTGAAACAAACCAAAATTAATTTAAAAATTTTTTATTTTCTTCAATTCACTTCTGTTTGAATTTAATTAGAATGAAAGTATAGATGATTAGCAGGAAAATTTTAAGAAGGAAAAGTGAAGCTCTGGAAAATTATAAACTAAATTCACTCATTCATTAAAAACAATGAAGACATTTACTGAACTTGTAGGATATTCCTACATTCTTTCATTACCACAGCAATGAAAAAAGTAGATAAAAGCTTTATCAATGAATCTTATATTCTACTAAGGGAGATGGAAAATAAATGAACTCATAAATAGATAATGGGATAAGATACATCATGTTTTGAGTAACCTTAAATTATCCTTTAAAAGCTCTTTCAAGTTATCTCTTAGCATTTTCTTTTCTTGGCTAATTAATTCTACTTATTCAACTCCCATCGGCAAAGCCCTGTAAACACACATCATAGATGTAATGATAAGTGAGTGGAAGCTCTCTTACCTTAAGTTGGTGGTATATCTTCTTCAGTGCATTTGCTTCTTCTTCTGTATTGGGAATAAGTCGAATCACCTTATCACTATAAGAAAGGGAAAAAATGGTGTTATTTGCCTTTCAAAACTAAAGATTTAGCCAGCTTTATCTACTTGCTTTTAAAAAACTAACTTTGGAACTGGGAAGAGAGACAGCAAAACTCTGGGCTGGTCTAATATCAGAAATACCTGGGCCAGCAGTTATCCAGTTATTATTAATCTCAGATCACATTGGTCTTAAAAAAAAGATTTATTTATTTTAGGTAGAGTGGGAGAGGGACAGGAGGAGGAGGAGAGAGAATCTCAAAAGCGGACTCCCAGCTGAGCACCAAGCCTGACTCAGGGCTTGATATCATGACCCAGAGACCTAAGCTGAAATCAAGAGTCAGCTGCTTAAATGACTGAGTCACCCAGGAGCCCCCAACATTGGTCTTTTTTTTTTTTTCTCATCAGCTATTGAAGATTACAAATTCACACTTAAGCAGAGAAAGGCCAAAAACACAGGAACAAAGGTAACAAGGACAAGGACTTTAATGAATAGCTCAGAGCAGATGCCAAGCAAGAAATTTCTGATGACAGAGGTAAAAACACGCTTTTAAAAAAAGCTTAACGCTGAAAAGGAATGTGACTTTCAATAAGACATATGAAATCTATGCACCTTGCTTTTAAAAAAAGCTTAACGCTGAAAAGGAATGTGACTTTCAATAAGAAGACATGAAATCTATGCACTATGGAAAATTTCTGGTTTGGATTCTTCCTACAATGAGAACAGTAAAGATAAGCTCATCTCTATGGGCCATCTTATGTCTGTAGTACAGGGCTTCCCAAGTGACATATGGGGCCAAACTGGAGGGTGAACAATTGTTTCAACGATGCCACAAAATACGAATGGCTATAAATATTTTTAAGTGATAAAAATTTTAAGTTGTACCACAGCTGATATTATATTTGAACAATCTAAAAGTTTATTTCAGTAAAGATCCTGAATTGTTTAAGAAGACCGGATGAGTTGTGCTATGGTCCAGAGAGTTCTCTATAGCAGTGAGCTCCCCCAAGGTGTGTCAGAGAACTATTATTATTTTTAGTTATGTCACAGCTCCAGTATGTAATAATCACAAATGGCTCAATGCTTTTTGCATGTAGTTATTAAGTACTTATAAATGGATTGGTATAAAGGAGATCATGGAGAATTGGTTTCAAGAGGAAATTTAGGAGATCTCTATGCTAAATAGAGTACAAGAGTATTTTTCATAACCCTTTGCAGTATTTTACAATGACTAAAGATATATTAGTATATATATGTGTGTGTGTATATATATATGTATATGTACGTATGTATATGTATACACACACACGGCAAAAAAGAAAAACCTAGCAGTTCCACCCACAACTTATCTCTCCAACCTCAAATATACTGAAGTAAGGATAGAATGTGATATTTTCCATGGTTTTACTACTTAGATGAATAGCAGCGTCCAAGGCCAGGTAAAATTAATATGGAAGTTCTTGAACCCCACAGGAGACTTCCAGATTTGTTGGAAAATTATTCTTAAAAAAAAAAAAAAAGAAAAAGAAAATTATTCTTCAGGGCTGTGTGTTCATTTCCAATCACTTTAGCTTTGTTATTTCAAATGATCCTGTTATATCTTCTTTAGGTCCATGCATTAAAAGGCCCATGGCTTGTTGATAATTTAATGTGTTTTGGCCACTATTCCCTAATATGACTTTGTCACTTCAGTTTCCTTAGAATCACACAAAACCACCCCTCAGTATTAATGCCATGAAGTCTATTTTTCCAGAAAGAATAAAAGAAAGGCAAAGAAAAAAAATCAAGTCACTGTGAAACACCATCAAATATGACCTTTAGAATTTAAATGTAATTTACACCTTTTCTCTTTTTCATTTCTGGTACACAATTCTCTGTCCTTAATTTTTCTTGGGTTCCTCCTATCCTGGCCTCTCCCACCTGACCCGATATAATTCTTGGCAGAGAAAGGCAACTCCACTGGGCGATATGGTTGTTTTTGAGGGATGGATCACTTGACAGCTTGCTGAAAAACACCTCCATCTGGGGCCCTATCAGCTCCTCAAGAGTGCAAAGAAAGCAATCTGTAGTTGTTTTACAGCCATAGGAAAAAAAATTTTTTTAAATGATGGATAATTCAATCTGGCAATTGGTTCCTCTTCTGTGAGTATAGGATAAAAGGTGAACACACCTGGGATTATTCAACTCTGAAAGTGATTGCACAAGCCCAGCTTTGTCACTTTTATCACAAAAAGTTCACTTCATCATAACTTGCAGCAATTCTCAGGTGTGACTTAAGAAATGTGTTTATTACTGTTTGAATACTTGTCAGAGAACATACAATAATAAAGTTATTTAGGGAAACCCACATCATATTTTGTAAATCCATAAATTTTATTAGACTAACCAGTAGCCAGAATCAACAACAGTCCTCTACTCAGCATGCAAAAGCAAATGCCCCATTTGTTCCACCAAACAGAAATCTGGCTTTCCCTAGATCTGATCTGATAGTCTTTTTTTTTTTTTTTAAGTGAACAATAATTCAGTACTACAAACAGGAAGGGTTCACGAAGTAAAGTAGCTCCAGCAACTCTGAAAAACTGGCTAAGCACAACTATCAAAGGTGAATGGAGAGGCTTTCCTTATAACGGATGGGTTTTTTCCACCACTAGGTGGCAACATCAATTTAAGACCCCCTTGGCTATCCTTTGGAATTAAATCCAGAGGACCAAAGGTCTGCAAAGGGGTTGAGATTAGGGAGCTGACTCGGCAACCAGCGGCTCACATGTACATGTGTCTGTAAATCAGATATTTCTAGCTCAGGGAGTCTGTGTAAAGTTTTCACAGAGAGGACAGGCATATTAAATCACATTTTAAAGATGTGATATTAGAGGCAAAATATTCCAGATAACTAATCACCCAGCCATCACATATTTACTCATGATATACTTAAGGTTATGTTGCTAGAATGCTAGCACCAAGTTGCAAGTTGATTATTGATCCTAATGTACAATAGCAACCACATGAACACTATTAAATACATTTAATCCATTTAAAAAGTATTATTAAATGCGTAACGAGAACATATGCACCCAGAGAGGAGTATCTGGCAAGATGGCACCTTCTCTAACCTTTTACAATCTGCCTGGGTTTCAGTTTCCTCATTGAAGGCGTGAGCAATGAACTGTTGCCTTCCCATTTTAAAGTTCTAAGACTATGCTGCTTGAAGCTGATGCCAACCACATGTATTGCCATGTCTTGACTGCAACACCTATGGAAGAATGTGTTTTGCAGGCAACTGGAGAGTCCTCAAACTCCTTTGGAAAGACACAGATCTGAAGCTACAGATTTTCTCCTTCTAGGTCTTGGCATCAATTTTCACAATTGATTCCATTATTAAACTTCGTAACTTGCACAACCAGTTTATAAATCTATGCTTGTAAGAAGTATTTTAGTATACACAAAATAAAGCTCCCCTTCCAGTTCTCTTCCATGCCAAACTTCTCCTTGTCCCCTGATGGCCATTGTTAATTTTTTGTGATCCATTCTGGACTCCTTTGTATTTGCACATGTGCACACTCACACGTGATGGTCTCATAGCATTTTATAATACTCATTTGCTTTTAGTTTTCACTTAGCATGTTACTTTGAAAACACTTTTCAAAATAAACAGTTGGATTCTAAATGTTAATGTTTTATTTTGGAGTTTTATGCCTATATTCAGAAGGGAGACATTTTTAAAAATAAACTTTTTAAAAACAAAAAATATATATTCTTTTTTTTTCATATTGTCATAAAATGGCAAGATTTCATTTATGGCTGAATAATTTGTGTGTGTGTGTGTGTGGAAGTGGAATTGCTGGATCATATGGAGGCTATACTTTAAAGAACTTCCATACTGTTTTCCAGAGGGCCTGAATCAATTTATACTCCCCACCAACAGTGCACAAGGGGATTTATTTTTTCCACATCCTTGCCAAAACTCATTTTCAATAATAGTTATTCTAACAGAAGAAGGGTGATATTTCATTTTGGTTTTCACTTGCATTATCCTGATTAATGGCATTGAACACCTTTTTATGGGCTTGTTGGCTATCTGTATACTTTGGGAAAATGTCCATTTAGACCTTCTGCCTATTTTTTCAGTTTTTGGCTATTGAATTCTATGAATTCTTTATATATTTTGGATACTAGCCACTTATGAAACAGGTGGTTTGCAAATATTTTCTCTCATTTGGTAGGGTAACTTTTCATTTTATTGATGCTTTTCTGTACTGCGATCCATTTGCTGCAGCCCCACTTTATTTTTGCTTTTGGGATCAGATTAAAAAAATCCTCACCAAGACCTGTGTCAAAGGTCTTACTGTCTAGATTTCCTTTCAGGGATCTTATAAGTTCAAGTCTTACATCTTTAATTCATTTTGAGTTAATTTTCATGTATGGTGTAAGATAGTGGTCCAGTTTCATTCTTTTGTATGTGGCTGTCCAATTTTCCCAATGCTGTCTATTGAAGAAACTGCCCTTTCTTCATTGTATATTTTTGGTTTATTTATCATAATTCATTGACCATATATGTGTAGGTTTATTTCTGGGTGCTTTGTTTTGTCCTATTGATCTGTGTGTCTTTTTATGGCAGTATGGCATACATAACCATATTGTTATGTTTACTACAGCTTTGTGGTGCGGGGGTGGAACCTGGGTGGCTCAGCTGGTTAAATGTCTGCTTTTTGGCTCAGGTCATGGTCCCAGGGGCCTGGGGTGATGCCCTGAGTTAGGTTCCCTGCTTGACAGGGAGCCTGCTTTCCCTCTCCCTACACTTAGCTCTCTCTCAAATTTAAAAAAAAAAAAAATCAGGGAGTTTGATGCTTTCAGCTTTGTTCTCATTTCTTAAAATTACTTTAGCTCTTTGAGGTCTCATTTCACACAATTCTTAAGAATTTTTATTTCTGTGAAAAATACCATCGATATTTTGGTACAGATTATACTGAATCTATAGATTGCTTTGGGCAGTATGGACATTTT